AGATAAGCTACCGTATTTTCACGACCATAAGGCGCACCGTACTAAAAGGCGCAGTCTCAGTTATGTGTGCCATTACTGTATTTAACACACACAAGGCGCACCAGACTATAGGGCGCGGGTTTTGTATACAGGTACATATCCTCTACTACGTTTAAATACCTCTACTGCATATTTAAAAATAGAGCGGGAGCAAAACTGAGTATGATTGTGCTTTATTCATGTATTTATTACAAAGTATTAATCAAACCTGGGTGCTGGCCGTGAGAGACACATCGCTGATGACACAGAGCGCTGTGATCGCTCCTCTGAAACAGTTTATTGACGCATAAATTAACTTAAAATGCAGAAATCTGCCGGCAGAATATGTTCGCTTTTATTATCCTGATGCCTGCAGTTTAGATTATTTAGATGAAAAACAGCTGCCGCGGTGAACCACGAGGAGGCGACCCGGCCAGAGGCTGCTGTTGAATGGGATTCCTACTGACAGCGCACCGCTGGTATGTGGGGTTCTGAGCGGCTCCGACAGAAATAATATTGGAAGGTGGGATTGTAATCTGGATGAACTGACTGCAGTGATTATGTTTTCAGGTGGACTTTCTCACTTAAAAACATATTAAAACTACTTTATTCCCACTGATCACAGCAAATATAGCTGCGAGGCAAAAAAAGGATAGAGTAGCTCCGCCCAACCCGCGTCACAATTTTGCACCGCACAGCTAGAGCAGCAAAGCTGCTTCAGCCGCGCATCAGAACTAACTGGTACGAGGAGCAAAAATGAAGCAGCAGACGTGTGAGCGTTGCATTACTTTGAACGGCCGGTTCACACCGATGTCGAGCGGTTGAAGTTCCTTTGTCAGACCTCCCGCAATAACAGCAAGCACAGCGTTCATTTGTTTCACCATGTTTTTCACATCGGCTGTGAGATGGGCACGCATGGAGTCACAGATTAACAGAGATGGTGATGCGTGGAAAAAAAACCACCTAGTCTCCTTACATACATCTCCCTCAGCCACTCTTTCATCATCTCCTGAATGAGGAGATGAGGAGTTCTGCATAAAGCACATATCTGTTCTTTTATGCACAATCCACGCCCACACTTCCCCCTTTAAAGCTACAGTGTGTAATAATTACAGGCATATAAATTCAGAAATTTAATATATTATACATAACTATGTTATTTATCATCACCTATGAGCTCAGCCTTTTAACCATAACATTTGCGTTGCCTTAGAATTCGTTATTTATAATTACATAGGAGCGGGTCTCGCAGCCATGGAGGCTGACATCTTTGCGCTACGGCAGCGCAGAGGCAACAAACTAGCGATTGCGAGATCTCCCATGACGCTCGAAAATAACTACGGCAAGTTGAGAGAGATGAACTGAGACGGTACTGAACAGTAGATGGCAGTATTATGCCTGAGAAGCGTTTAGTCTGCCTGAAACCAAAGAAGAAGAAGAAGCAGGTATACTGCGCCTCGGTAACAAGAAAGGTAAACAAGGCGGCAGGCGTGAGTGACTTTGCAAACTGTTTGGCACTGTGTGGCCAAACATCAGACGAATGGAGGATCATGCCTACTCTGTATCACAACGAAAAGCGGCGGACACCGAACCCCCGTCATCTAAGAAGCGGAAACACGACGAGAATAAACGCAAGAGTGACAAGAAACGACAAAAAACACGGATCAACATTGGCACGGCATTTACACGATGGAAGTCACTGATGGAGGAAAAAGGTTTTCAAAGTGACGCTCAAGTTGCCAGTTTTCTCTTGGACAGGTAATTAATCCTATACACACAATTGTCTAATATCACTGCAGTTTTTGGAGTACAGGATGCTCAGACCTGTCTAAAACAATAACATGCTGCGTGATGATGCTGTTACTCTCCAGTATACTTATTCAGCAACGTCCCTGACGTTTCACAGGTAATGATTCAGTAATTTTCTGTAAAATAATTTTCTGGATATATACCTCGGTTACTTCTCTCCGGCTCCTTTGGAGATCTTCAAGCCTTTCCTCCTCTGCTCTCACCCCGCTGGCTCCCCTCTCTCGCCTGGCCCCAGCTGCACGCTCACCCCGGCCTCTCTGCCCTCTTCCTTTCCCTCTTCCTTGCCTTGTAACCCCCGTGCCACAAACAAGACTTGGACTCTGTAAACGGGGAATATATATTCTTCCAGCGAACACAATCTCGCTGTTAAACTAATGACTACAATTACTTCGTCTGTTTATATCACCATGCAAAGCAGCTCACCAAAACGTCACAACGACGTAGAAAAAATAACGGGTATATTTATTATCTTAAGTCTACATGAAATCTATACCCTACACAGACTAATGAAATACTATCTGTAAAATTATCTATGTAAACAAACCTCATCACTTGAGAAGGTAGGTGATGCGGACGTCGTGGAAGACATTTTGTCCCGTAACGCTCGCCGTACTGTTGGGGGGGAGAAGCGGTGGGGGGGAGACGTTCATGTTGCTGCAGTCTGCAGTCTGACCGCTAGATGTCGCTGAAAATTACACACTGTAGCTTTAACGTTCTCATGGTGGTCTCAACAACGTCCGCAGTAACAACACACATAGGGCGCACCGCACTATAGGGCGCGCCGCACATTTTGAGGGAAAAAAAAGACGATTATATGCGCCTTATAGTCGTGAAAATACGGTAGTATTTTGTATGAATGTGTGAAATGTCATGATTTCGGAGGCTGACTGTTAGGAGATGACCTGGTCGCTCATACGCTCTTTGTTATCTGAGAACCGAGCCAGAATTAAACTGCGCTGAGCCCTACTGATGAACTAGTACCAGTTTAGCTTGGTTCCGTTGTCTCTGGCATGGTTCAGTTTTGCATGCCATTTACACTTACCGGTAACATTTATCTCGGTTACCATGCTTGGTCTGATCTCTGCACGGTTTTAAAAGGGTAGTGTAAACGTGGCTATTAGGTATTAAAAGCTTGCCTTATTTTAAACTTTTCAGCTCCTGAAGAAAAAAATAAATATTAACTTAATCAGAGATGCATAGGACCAAAAAGAAACAACACCGGTTTGCTTCTGGCTTTTGTTTATTCTTTTGTCCATACATTTGGGATTTTAGTCCTTCTTTCTTTTTCTTTTTAATGGGTTTTACTGGATAGACCCTTAGTCCTTTATTTCTTTCCCTTTCTCCTTTGAATCAGAAAAAATGTCAAGAACACTGGAGGCCAGACCACAAACACACTTGTTACAGAATGAACTTTTACCTCCTGAGCCATTGTTTCCCTTTTGTTGTTGGAGTACACTGGAGAACATAATGTTTTTGTAAAGTTAATAATGACCAAATTAGCAGAATGTTGACACTTCCTAATTGCTCTCTGGATTTGGATATTACTCACCTGTTCTAATAGCGTGCTGTCTAAGTGACAGTCTTATCAGTGCACCTTTTACTCCTTCATTCAGATTGCTAAGTTGTAGTGGAAATCATAAACTTTGGTTATATATTATATATTTCAGTAAAGGGTCATATTTCCTCTGTTGTCTCCACCTTTCTGGCTTTCAATCAAGTTCATTCACCTGCTCTGAACATTTAATGCAAATTTAGTTACCATTGTGCAACTCCTAGATTGGTTGATTGTAGAAAAAACATTTGATGTGTTCATAAGCAGATTCCAGGTTATGAATCATCTCTCTGGGTGTGCAGGTGGCGCAGTGGTAAGTGCGCATGACCCATGTACGGAGGGAGGACTTAGTCCTCGATGCGGCTAACCTGTGGTCCTTTGCTGTATGTCTCTCTCTCTCACTTATACCCCCTTTCCTGTCAGCATACTGTCAGAAAAACTAGCCACTAGTGCTGTAAAAACTCAAAAAAAGAAAAAAAATGAATCATCTTTCTGTCTTTCATCACTCTTCGTGGCTCAGCTCGTGTTTGCTTTGGAATATAAAGTGATCAGGAATTTTAAGTTTGTCTCTGCCAGCTATCACATTAAAGGTGGCAAGCAGGAGAACCTTATCGGTTTCATCTTGTTTTCTTTGCAAGGTTCAAACCCTTAGCAAGGCTTTCTTTTGGAGCTTTTATCAGCCTTCTCCTTTCAGGTTCAGAATCCTGCAACCTTCAGAAGACTGCTGTACCTGACCTGTTCAACACTGCGGCATATTGAACCAACAACTAACTCGGCTGGCACATCATGCAGATTACTTACATGCAGACTGATTATATCTGTTAATTGTAATGCTTTTCTACTTGGAAAAAAAAGATATTTAAATCAGAATGGGTGCTCAATCCATTTTTTTCCATCACGCTTATCCCAAGAAGTTGCAAGAGGTACTGGTGCCTATCTCCAGCTCCCTACCGGCGAGAGCTGTGGTACAACCTGGACAGGTCTCCAGTCCATCGCAGGGCAAAACAGAGACAAACATCCATTAACACTCACACCTAACGAGAATTTAGAGAAGTCAATTAACCCAACAGTCATTTTGTTGGACTGTTGAAGGAAGCCAGAGTACCCGGAAAGAACCCACGCTTGCTCAGGGAGAACATGCAGAAATAACCCGGGCCAGTATTCAAACCTTTGAGCTGCAAGGCGGTAGTGCTACCCACTGCGCCACTGAGCAGCCCAGAACGGGTCTCATTACAGAAACTTTTGCTTAACAATAGATATGTTTCATAACAATTTAGAACAGAATAGAACATTATTGATCTCATAATGGAGAAATTCACTTGTGACATCGGCTCTCATAAACAACACAAGGTGCACAAAGGAGGAATTGGTGCATGAAGTTTATACAGTGAAACCAGATCTATACAGTGGATGGTAAAATATAAAGGCGAGATTTAAAGTGACTTATATGTGCAGTATCTTATGTACAATATTGTGGTGGTGTTTTCAGAAGGGGTTTTTACTCTGAACTCTTACTCCAAGTTGATTAAATATGCCCGTCTGTCTATATAATAAGTTGCTTTATATTGCTGAATAAACCAGGTCCTTTAATCATAAGTTAATCTCCTCCGTCTCTGTTCAGGAATCGACCTGCTTGGAGGAATAATCCCAGAGCTCTGCCTCAAACATCCCGATCTCCATTTCTTAATTGGAGGCGAGGGACCGAAGAGAATTGTGCTGGAGGAAGTGAGAGAAAAATACCAGCTGCATGACAGGTATTACTGGATGATGATGAATCCTGATAGGATGCAAGGACAAGATTTCACTAACATTATCTTTTAAGGACAAGGTTTCTATCATAATACATCATAACAAGACTTTGCAGAAAATTACACTTTTAAACTCTTTCACTTTACATTTGTGTTGGACATCTTTGGGAGCTTAAAGCTCTCAGTGCATTTTGTCAACTAATCAGGATAAATTAATGAGCTACTTTGAGTTTGTCTTTGACACTTTTTTGTGTGATTGTTAGACAAGATGGCTTATTTTGAAACAAGCTTAACATCGTAGTTTTTTCTTTTACAGAGTACGTCTGCTTGGTGCTCTGGAGCATAAAGACGTGCGTGGCGTCTTGGTTCAGGGTCACATCTTCCTCAACACATCGCTGACCGAGGCTTTCTGTATGGCCATTGTGGAGGGAGCTAGCTGTGGACTGCAGGTTGGCTGTAACTTAAAGCTAATTCAGACTTATTACACTTACAGGATTTAAGTCCATGTATGGAATAAGCAATGATCTAATGTGTGAGACACAGTCACATGTGAGGAGAAAGGAAGCCAACATGTCTGTTCAAGTATAAATATTAAGATGTTTATTAAGATGTTTTTTTTCACGTTCAATTGAGAAGGGAATCAATCAAAGTCTTTTGCACTACATATGACTCTGAAGTAAGCAATTTCTGAGAAAGCTTTGTTTAAAATTAGGTCATGTTCTTACTTGACTTGACATGCTGGCTTTCCCTCTTTCCTTAGAACTGCATCTTGCACTGGTTAGATGACACAACACAAACAAATGTATGTGATGTAATGCGCAGAGTAGTTAATATGGACACTTAATTGATCCCTGGGGGAGCATTGCATTACTACAGCACAAAACAAAGCTTATACTGAGAAAAAAGCTACTTTGAGGTCAGCTTGAAGAGGAAAACAAACATCTAAGGGGTAAAAGCAGAAATGAAAATGATACAGTACTGGGATTATCAGCTGACCTTAAATTAGAGGAAGTTTATGCCAGGAGGTTAATATCAAATACATTTCATGTAGAGATGGGATGGAGGTGGAACCCTGAAATATCTGGAATAGGATCATGAGTCAGGCTTAGCCAGTGTTCCTCTACTCTGGACCATAGTAAACTCCTGAACTTATTGAACATGTTTCAGACCAAACTAATGATAAAGAGGCTTTATCATTAGTTTATGTGCATGAGGAAAATCACCAATGTCTAAACAAATCAGAACATTGAAGACTGCCAAATGACTGGAGCAGCAACCGCATGCACCTCACATGACTTTGAGGCATGGCTGCTGAGTCTGCCAATGAAATGGGGAACTTATGCACATACTGGCAAATGCTGATACAAGAAAAACAAAAACCCAAATTGCATCCTTTGACAAGGTTAAGAACATATGTAGTCATAGACAAAATACTTAGTGAGACAATATACATATCAAGCATTTCACTCAACAATATATGTTAAATTAAGTTATAAGAAACAATTAGAATTTAAATCATTTTAAAGGTATTTGGAATTATTAATATAATTAAATACACATTTAATTATTCAGTTAAATGGCACATTTATTTATTTAATGTTACATGCATTTTTGTTCATGGTACATTAACTTTTTTTTAAAATATACTTATTTAATTTTGTTTTCTTTAATCTTTCTGCAGCTCAGGCAGGCATGACATATAAAAAGTTTTTAACTGAATGGTGACATTTCTGACCTTAATTTAAAATTCATACTGCTGATCTAAAGTTTAGTTCTCCAAAGGTTTTTGCAGTTTATCTGTGAACTTGTAACTTTTGTAGTGTTTTTTCTTTTTTTTTGTTTTGTTTTGGTTTTACTATTGCAAACCTACTTTTTTGTTCAGATCTTTACCTCCGGTGCACAAAGATTAAATTCTCAGACGTTTTGGTAACCTCCCACTTACACTATTTACATACAGCTGTAGGTCTTTTTTTGGGTCTGCCTATCAGATTTTTACATCTACAGACTAAAGCATCGGATCATCTTTGTGAAATATCTCAGGCACTGCAACATTGGATGGATGCTCTGTTAACATCAGTGTTCAGATTTTACCACTGATTCTATATCGGTTTTAGCTGTGGCCTTTCTAACTATGCTGTATGCTTTGATCTAAACCATTTCTCGTGTAGTGATTGTTATACCAGAGAGGGAACCTCCGGTCCAATCCGCCTTCTTTAATCTACTTACTTACTATGTTTCATTGTTTAAGTGGAATCCCAGCAGTAATGTAAAATCATTTAAGCCATCATTCTTTTTTTGTTTTTCCTTCAGGTGGTAAGCACCCGTGTGGGAGGAATTCCTGAGGTTTTACCGGAAGACCTGATCACTCTGTGCGAACCAACTGTGAGCTCATTGTGTAAGGGTTTGGAAAAAGTGATTGCCAAGCAGAGGTCTGGCTCCTTTCCCTCACCCAACTCCACCCATGCTAGGGTGAAGAACCTCTACACATGGAGAAATGTGGCTGAGAGGACCGAAAAGGTGAGATCATCATAACATGCAGCGTGACGCATCACACTAGTGAAACATTAAAGTAATTACATACTATAAATGTACTATAATTTTGACAGATGCTGGCTACTTGGAGTGTCTTGGAATGAGTGAATGCAATCTTCAGTTTATCTGTTGGAACATGAGAAAAAAAACTTAAAATTAACCTGTTTTTATGCAGCTGCATAATCTCACACTAAACATTTTGGAAAAATAAAATATGTAATTATAGGACGAGTTTGTTTATAGATATCATTACAGTAACATTCAAAGTGCTGTATGAAAGCAAATCCAAACAGAAAAACAGAAAAGTACACTGCAGAGGCCTATTGTGAGAGAAAAAAAAATAATAAAAGAGACCATTAAAGGTAATAAAAATGAATAAAGTGATAAGGTAACTATAAAAAATGAGAAAAAAAATGTGAATAGATGCAGTTAAAAAAGTTGGACCTCTGTACGATTTTTTTTTGCCCTTTTCGGGCCGATTCTCCAGTTGTGCGAGAATTTTTGCGATCGGGCCAACTTTCAGCCTGATCGTGTGTCGTGTAGTGTACAGGGAGTAACGAGGGGTCATTAGCTCCTCACGACCACGTCCCGATCAGGAATCGTAAGGTCGGGAGAAAAATCAAGCATGTTTGAAATTTAGTTGGCTAACATAAGGTGGTGGCGATGTCTTTGTCCAAATACGTCCTCGTGTTTTCTTTTTAAGACTTTCAGCACATAAATTGCACAAATTGTCAAGGCAGCGCATTTCATTCTAGTGGGCTTCATATTTAACAGAAGACATCGACACTTGTGTCCTTTTTCTCTTCTACTCGTTTGGTTTCTGGATAGACGAGTCCCAGTAGCGCCATCTCTCTGCGGAGCTGAGTCGGATGCGGTTTTAAGACGTACAATTTGAGCAGTTAGATTGCATCAGAGCGTTGGGCCGCACAGTGTGAGAACAAACATCATGAGCTGTGAACTTTTAAACCCAGCGGATTTGTCATACAGTGTGAGCTGTAGCTGCGAGCAACGAATTAAAAAAAATCCTACAGTGTATACCCGGCTTAAAACAAAAAATTTGCTTAGATTATACAATTTAAACATACGTTTTTTAACTTTGAAAGCAACTGAGTGTTTCAACACTTTAATAGTTTTCTAGTAGTTACTTCCAGATTAGTAGAGCATAGAAAATAAAAGCTTCTTCTCTAGGGTTGGTTTTGGGAATGCAGAGTAGAATGTTTGGGTGGTTAATCCACTGATGTCAAGTCTGTAATCATTTAGTAGCTCAGACAACCAGTAATTTAACAGAACTAAAAGATATATTTTAGTCCGCTTTCTGAGGAAAGGGGAGCAATAATAATAATAATAAGTGAACTTAATTAATCTCACACTGGAGAAATTTACCTCTGCATTTAACCCATCCCCTTGGGGAGCAGTGGGCTGCCATTGTGCAGCGCCCGGGGAGCAGTGTGGGGTTAAGGGCCTTGCAACCTTCTCAGAGCACAAGCGCACTGCTCTAACTAGGCCAACACTCCCCACATGATGCAGAAAGTGGAATGTGAATAGAAGGGGTTAATGTGCTCCACGCGTACCTATCTTACCACATGTACCTCTATATTTATTTATTTATTTTTTCCAAACAGTGTCCAGTCTGGCAATGTGGCAATAAGAATAATTGTCTTGATGCCAAAAAGAGCCCAACAGATTTTACTCTCACAAGTGGAGCAGTACGGCTATAGCCATAGTGTTCCGCTTGTTTCATGCATATAAATTGCTTTATTATAATTATGCAGGGAGTTTTACAGATTTTATGGACACTGCAGTGTAAGTAGAACAGAAGAGGAAAAACAGAAAAAAAGGAGAAAAGATTAAATAAGGAGGAGATAGAAGGGAGATAATGATAAAACATTTTCAGTCTGCTTCACCATCTCCAAAGAGATGTAAAAAGAACAGCACAACCAACAGACATGGTACGAGACATACAAAAAAGCAACACCTAGATAATATCGCTGAAGTAGTATTAGTTAATCTGACATATACTCTGTGTTACCTGAAGATAAGAATATGGGCTTTCTGTATGAAAGTGAATATCTGAGTACCTGGAACCAAGCACCTGTAGTTGTTTTTGAGAGTGCATGTAAAGTTTATGCAAAGGAAAAATGTCTCTGTAACGTACCTCTACATTTAACAGCCTTCTTACAAACTCAAAAGCTTTGTCTCTGAATCACCCTGAGAGATCAGCCAGGGTCGTATTACATAATCATTTTCCGTCTGGTTGTCTCTCCCTGTGTGGGCAGGCTTCACTGTGTCCGCCTGCAGGTGAGGCTGTAAGGGCTGAAAGTAAGACAGTGTGCCAGCTTACCTTGCTGAGAAATAATTTTCCTCAAGCTGTCAGTGTTATCTCTTGCTAGCGCAGGAATGGGAGGGGCTGAGTGAGAAGGAAATAAATAATGTGGTGTGCATGGAAGCATAAATACCTGGAAACAGCGGGTCATTCATTTTTGGAAACTGTTTAGCTGTTAAAAAACTGTTTTATACTGACGAAGAGCAGCTTTGAGATGAGCCTGTAGTTCTGCAGTTCTGCTTATCCATGTTGTTCTTTTTCAACAGCTATTGATCGTTGCTGTTTTATGACCTCAGTAGGAAACACCTAATTTTTGTCAAATCAAGTTTTATGACTCAAAAACTCTTATAGAACGGATGGAGCTGGGATGAAGGAGTGAAGGAAGTGATGAATATAATTATGCTTCATATAAATGTGCTACAGTGCAAGAACATTAGATAATTCATTAAATGATGAAATGCTTATGTTCACTTCTTTCAATAAAAATCAATATCTTTGTCTAATTAATTATAAATGTATTAAATAGGTGTATTTATTTGAAGTTCGAATTACGGTAATTAATGACAAATTTAAGTTATTATTTCTTAAGTTATTTATTGTATTGTGGCACTCGTCACCCAACTGTGGAGTATTGATCCTTAGATTAGGGAGCAACAGTAGATATTTACCTAAACTTGTTTATGTTAATAGTCTTGTGTCCGATATCTTTTTTGCATCATTTTTGGAAATATTTTTCACCCAAAAAAAGTGAAGCTCTCCATTTTTATTATTTCTCTTTATACCAATTATACAGTTTTTTTTTAGATAATTGTGGCAAACTGATCCCAATGAGTTTCTCTGAAATATGAACCTTTGTGGCGTCTGAGTCCTTTATAAATATCTAGTCTCTTCCAATGAAGACGCGTGCTTCGTTAACACCAAAATAGCCTGTTCATTCACTTTTCCCAGAAGGCACGCTCTTTTTTTTTTTTTTTTTTCCTGTTGATGATGTCACTCCAAATGCCTAGTGTTAATTTTCTCTTAATTTATGCAAGCTTTTATTTATGACGGAGGAAAAAAAAATAAAACTCAATTGTTGCCACTGTGTTTCCTTGTCATCCTAGGTGTATGACAGAGTGGCTGGAGAAGAGGTGCTCCCACTGGAGAAGAGGTTATGGAGACTCAGGTCCCATTGCGGCCCTGTGGCTGGCTCCATCTTCGCCTTTGTGGCAGTGCTGGATTTCCTGTTCCTTCTGCTCCTGCAGTGGTTGGTACCAGACCGGCACATGGACTTTGCTGTGGATGCCACAGGCCCAAATGGATTGTGGGTAAAGAAAAGACAAAAAAGTGAACCTGGTTGCTAATGTACCATGAAAATGTACTTCAGAGACACAGAAGAGTAAATAACGGCTGCTACACCTTCACCTGCTGACACGGTTGTAGGAGTGCAAACAACATTATTGTAAGAGCTACCTAATGCTGAACACGCTCAGGAGAATCCTTCGGTGTTTACGGCGTATTAACAAAAGGGGATATGTTTTTATTTTGACCATTTAATGATTTATACCCTCATAAAGATCAGTACAAAAATCATTTTCAATTTCTTTGTGTTTCCCTTCTTAGGTGACAGACCTTGATGTCAATTTTTAACTGGTATTCATTTGAAGATTTTCATATTTCTTCTAGTGCAATATTGCATTAATAAGCAGAATATTTATGAACCTCATTTTTTTTTCCTTCTCGACATTTTACACTTCCCTCTTTTTTGTAATCCTGGATGTAATCATCAGAGTACGTATTTGTACTGACCTTTAAATGATTTTAAAGAGAAGCCACATTGATATTTTGAAAGCCTTAATAACTATAGGCTTTAAACTTAATTCTTTTTTTTTCTTTTAAAGTTACACATAAAAAATTGGGATGGAAAAATGTTTAAACGTCTAAAGAAGAGACAAAAAGCTGCTGTATCTTCTGTTACTGATGGAACGTATAGTATGACTTGTAAAATGTATTTGTTTTTTTGTAAAAGCATAAATCATGGGAGGTTTTACCAAGTGAACAATAAGTTGGTATGGGTGATGACAGTACTTTTAAATAAAAAATAAAAATGTTTATTTGTATCCTATTTATATATTTTTTTCTTTTATTATCTACAGTTTAAAGGCTCTTTACCCACACAATGTGAATTTTACAGTTTCTGATATTATTAAGATGTAGATTTTAGGAAAGAGCAGAGAGCACCTGGAGCATGTTTTAAAGATTGATAGTTTCACTGAGTTTTGCAAAAGGCTTCTGTCCCATTGAAGGTTTTCACTTAACATTTTTCTAGTCATGTTTCTTTTACACATCTTTTGATTGCATTTAACTAAAATATTGATATTTAGAATTGTGTCAGTTAAACCAGAGTTTGGCAAATGAAACTTCAGACTTTTAGAATCAAGTTTATTGCCAACTAGGTTTGCACTTACAAGGAATTTGACTTGGTGTTGACGGTGCAGACAAATTCGATATATATACGGAATCTATAGTTATATACAATATAAAACATACAATATATAGTATATAGCTATGTACTATAAACTTCTCAGTAGACCGTGTGTTAATGTGGCGCAGAAGATCTGGAGATGCTACGTTGGTGTAGCTTCTAGGTCCTGAACAGGGGAGGGAGAGGCAGGGTCAGTGTACAGGGGTCTCTGGGCCTTGTTGGTAATTTGTTGGTATATAGTTTGAAAAATAAAACTACAGTCAGTCACCTGGTACAGCTCTGCGGCTGTTAGTTGAATTGAAAATTTGAAGAAGATGAATCTTTCTAGACCCCTGATGATGGGTGAGTCCCTGGAAAGGTTCCTCTTCCAGCAGGACAACAACCCTGAATGTAAAAGCAGAGCTCTCCTCCCATCCTGTGATTAGTTACAAGAAAACTTAATTCTCTTAACTTATTGAAAGAAATATAAGAATGTAACAACCTTCTTTATGTAATTGTGTGTTTTGGGAAAACAACATCTTTACACTGGTTTCAAGATGCCTCTTAGCTTCACTTCATCTCTGTTGTGCTGAAAACATCCAGGTCTGTTTGTCTCCTCATATGCAAAAATTTTAGGTCTCTCCTCCCTATAGGCCATTACCTTAAGGCCATTGGGTTTTCTATTGTAATGAATGTTCAGGACCGGTACTCGGGGTTGTTTCTGAGTTAAAATGTGGGGGAGGGGACGAAGCAAAGAGATAAGAGGGGGAGCAAGGCCAGTTTCAGGTATGCATTTCCTGGGATAGTGTTGAAGGAGTCTGCTGCTGCGGTTTGGTTTTCATGATGGCCACCATTTCATTGAGGTCCCAACCTTTGCAAAACTGCTTCTCCATCTACAGAGGCCTGCCATGCAACTCGCTGATGGCCGGTGAGTTTTTGTCTTCTCTGACATTTAGCAACTTGAATAAACTGAGTTTCTTTATCTGCTGCTTTTGGCTCTGCTTTAGCTAGGCCAAACAAACCTGTCTTTAAGTGAGTTCAGGATTAAAAATATTTTGTATTAAATTCAGAGTTTTTTCAACTGGATTAAACAATCTTGAAAGAGCATTTGGCAACTATGTTGTTTTTGCTTTCTGTGTTTGTGACTGTCTTGTTTTTTTTGTTTCAGACTCCTGTTCAGACAGAACTCCCCTGCATGATGCAGCGTATCAAGGCAGGTTACTCAATCTCATGGAACTTATCTCTCAGGTAAACTTTAAAGTGGTTTTTATTTTTCCTTTCACCTGTTTTTTTTTTCATTTGATAAAAAAAAACAAAAAAAAAAACTGAAAGCTTTTATTTGTCTCCAGGGCTTCCAAGTAAACACTCTCACCATGGATGGCGTCTCTCCTCTTCATGAGGCGTGTCTTGGTGGTCACCATGCCTGTGCCAAATTCCTCCTAGAAAATGGTGCAAATGTAAGAATGCTTGAAAATTTAGCATTAAAGTGCTATGCAATAAAGCTTCCTCAGCTCTTGTATAGATGTAGTGTTAAGTCTGATACAGTTTGAATTTTGTGTTATTTTTATTGACAATAATAACAATTATCCTATTATTAGCAGTCTAATTATGATTATTATAGATATAGAAATATTATCTAATCTAATTACTATTAATATTAATTATATGATATTAACTTATCAATCTCTCCAACGCCTCCCTCAAGTGATTCAGACACCACTCCCTCTGAAATTGACATTTATTCATTCCTTGCACTATTTTTGCATGTCACCGCCGCTTTACTTGGATTCATAGTTATACATATGCATATATATATATATATATATATATGTGCAAGAGTTATATGTGTATATATTTATATTTGTGTTATATTGTGTGGTTTGTGGTGTATATATGTAAAACTGCATCTGGAGCGTGTAACAAAAGTAATTTCCCTTTGGGATTATTAAAGTATTTCTGATTCTGAATCAGCTGCCAGTGAAATAGAAAAAAATCCATTGAAATAGTGACATTAATTTTGAATTGTGGTTCAACAGAAATATTAATAAAACCTATAGAAGGTTTTCAGTTTGCAGCTCCATTCAATAGATTACTTCCATTCATCGCTGTCAAGTTTAGCCTACTTAACCTTTTCTAGAGGCGGGGTAAATGTGCTGGGTTTGATGAGCGATGAGTTTCTTTATTGAGGCGGTGCTCCAAGACACACACTGACACCAAGCTTCAGCTTAAATTCAACGTCTGAAATGGCCTTTCCACTATAACATTTGTTGACTGTATAATGCTGACAGGAAACTAATAAATATGAGAAAACTTGACCAGCTCTACCAAGACAGATCCCGTTTAGTTTGTGCCTTCCTCTAGAGGGAGAGCAGCCCCAGTGGAAGCCTGAGGTTTTTGAAAAGGGAGTTATTTTATAGGATGTAATAGAATGGTCATTTACTGTCTTAGATTTGGGAAATTCAGATGTTTCTACAGCAAAGCAAATAAAAAGATGAAGCATACAGGTACATACAAGACTGAAACAACTCTGAAAAAAAGGATAAGCAGTCTGTGGCCCCGTCCACACGAAATCAAAACGAACACGAAACGCTGATATTTTCCAAAACGTTTGCCGTAAAGACGGAGACGTAAAATAAATGTGAGCGTTCACACGAATGCATGAAAACGCTGCAAAATGTATGCCAGGCCTGTAAATGGCGCTGTGGTGCCAAAGCAAAAATAAGCGACGAAATGTTGGGCATGCGCACTAATATTTATACATGGTTGCCTTGCGGGTCTATTTTCGTGGTTAAGTCAAATTCAGGTGCTGAACTATGTGGTCGATATTGCTCTGTTCTTCCTGGAGATATTCCAGAAGAAGAAGATTCTGTTGTAAGCCCGACAGCAGGGTGAGTAGCATTAGCAGCAACGGCGCCATTGTTGTTGTGATACTGGTCGCGCATGCGTGTTAAGAGGCGACGCTATGACGCATGCGTGTAAAAAAAAAAAAATGCGGTTAGAGCGTAAAGATGGAAACGCGAAAACGGCGTTTCAGAATCTTCCCACTCTGAAGGCTGAATAAAAAAAAGATCGTTTACAGACCCCCGAAACGCCGGCTTCGTGTGGATGAGAGGCTGGTTTGGTGAAAAATTTGTGCGTTTAGGCCAGGGTTCGTCTTCGTGTGGACGGGGCCTGTATCGCAAAGGGAAACTATATCTGAGAAAACCAAATTGGAGTTATTTTAAATGGTAGACTCAGACTAAATAAATAAATGCTACAAAAGCAGCCAATTACAGAAAAAAAGTGGAAAAGGCAAAAAAAAACAAAAAACAGAACCAAATAAGTTTAAATAGCAACACTGATGTTAAAAAAAACACATGAAACAGGAGAAAAGTAATTGCAAAAATTGCCTTGATGTTTGACAAACACTTATAAACAATTTCATTAGCTTGTGTGAACTGAATGCAAGCTACAGCAAGTTCAAATGTCTTTACCAAGTCTGTACTAATCTAATCTAATTAAGCTGTCAGGTCATCAGAACAGAAACTGTTCTGCTGAGTCATTAAAGTCCCAAAAATGATTTATGCCGGAGGTAAATGTGCAGCCCCTAAATAATTTCCAAAACTTAAGATCAAATAAGATAGACCTTATTGATATCACAGTGGAAAAATTAACTTGTCACATCGGCTAAATAGTCAAAAGAAGGTGCCAAAAGGAGGAAAAGGTCAATTAGATATGTACAGTGCATTCACATTTTTATATATATATATATATATATATATATATATATATATATATATATATATATATATATATATATATATATATATATATATATAAACAGCTTAAGTCTCTTATTAAACAGCATTATTGTGCAGGGTATTAACTTCACATTTATAAAGTTAAACTGTCTTCATCTGTTCTTTTTGGTTTATTTTTATGTTTTTCATTTTGCAAACTCAAATGTAATATAATCTTGAATGAATTTCCTTTCCAGGCTCAGGCAGTGTCAACAGATGGCGCTACACCTCTCTCCAACTCCTGCAGCAGTGGAAGCGCAGCATGTGTCCGACTGCTCTTACAGCACGGCGCCTCCATCCACACCACCCCCCAGCTGGCTTCCCCCCTCCACCAGGCTGCTAAGAAAGGTGCATGGGTGTTAAAAGCGACGAGTGTGAAGGTGTGACATGTTTTAGCACAGGTTTGTAAAGCTTTGTCATATCCTCTCCAGCTCACAGAGAGTGTATGGAGCTGCTGCTGTCCTGCGGAGCTCAAATTGATGTGGAACTGCCAAATGTGGGGACCCCGCTGTATGCCGCCTGCAGGGCCCCTTCAGC